AATCCATCTCAATGGATTTCGTCTTCGGGTTACCCAAAGACGCACGCGGGAATACGGGTATTCTCGTATTTGTTGACAGACTCAGCAAAATGGTACACCTTGTGGCTGTACCAGAGACAATCACGGCAAGTGGCTGTGCTTGTGTCTTTATTGACACCATCTTCCGACTTCATGGGTTGCCCCGTGAACTCGTATCAGACAGAGATCCACGATTCACTGCTGATTTCTGGCGTTCCGTGTTCAAATCACTCGGAACGCGCTTGAAGATGTCAACATCTGATCATCCAGAGTCAGATGGTCAGACGGAACGTGCCAATCGTGTCCTTGAAGAGATACTTCGAGGATACGTACACTCCTTTAAGAGTTGGAGTGAGTTTTTGCCGATGGTAGAGTTTGCCATCAACAACTCGGTGCATGCGTCGACGACACATACACCGTTTTACGTGAATGGCTTGCGCCATCCGCGTGTACCCACCTTACTAGAGTGTAACTCTGGTTTAAGGGGGGAGGGACTCGCGCGAGCAAAAACCGATTTGGTTCACGCTCATCACGCTCTGACGAAGAAGTCATTGCGTTTGATGCCGATATCGATAACATCGATATCGAAGAAGATGATGCCAGTGAGAGTGCGGAAGCCCTCACTGAAGACAATGATCCCAGTGAGAGTGCGGAAGCCCTCACTGAAGAAAAGGTTGTTGTCGCTGCAGTGCGCTCACAGCACACTGAAGCTAACGAGTCATCAGATGAGTTCATACTGGCTCGTGAAACGGTAGTCCGTTTTGTGCAAGACTCCATCGCCGAAGCGGTGGATAAGCAAAAGCAAAACGCTGACAAGAATGGAAGGGCAAACACTCTTTTATTTAATAAAGGTGACTTAGTCCTACTGTCTACGGTTAATCTACCAAAACATGTAGTGACTAACTTGGGTAGCAGTAAACTACTACCCAAGTACATTGGCCCATTTCGTGTATTGCACCGCCTAGGCAATGCATACACGATCGAGTTACCACGTAAGATGCGAACGCATCCCACGTTTTACGTTGGTCGGCTTAAGCCGTACCATCAGTACGCTGCTTCTTCCGATGAAGAACGCCCTTGCGCTCAAGCATCTCGCAGAGAGCCTTGTGCTCCCGATGGTGGGCATCAACAAGGGTCTGAAGAGCAGTTATCTCAGCCCGAGACCGATCAACAATCCCACGAGCTACCCTTAGCTCGTCACGAAGAGATGTCAGAGATCTCTCGTTCTCAAGCTGAGCAAAGGCAAACTCAGCTCGATGCTTCGAGGCAGTGTCCACCATCTGGAGACGCCTATTCCGCTCATGCTCGAGATCGTCGCGTAACCCTTGCGTTACGCGATCAAAGAAGCTCTCGGGAACACACCGATCCACATGATCGTGTGGAGAGCGTCTTTCCTCCTCCTCCACCTCCATTAGAGGACTCTCGCGGTGGCCAGCGCTATCTAGTAGAGCAGCTGTTGAACCACCGCGACGTGAACGGACGTTGGACGAGTTACCTCGTCCGGTGGCGCGGCTATCCCCCGTCCTGGGATTCTTGGGAGCCCCGCTCCCAATTGATGGTTGACGTACTGGGTCTGGTCGAGCAGTACGACGCGACACATCCTGTGCCGCAGAAGGACCGCCGGAGAAAGTCTTCCCGGCACGGTCGTAAAGGGATTTCAGGTTGTCAATCCCTTCGTACATCTCAGTAGAGACACGTACGCGCCACCACGGGCTGGTAAGGAGGTAAGCCTCCTTAGGTGCTCGTGCAGAGTTGTTCACACAACATGGGCACGAGTCTCCCCAAGAGAGGCAGGGTAATCCTTTCTCCCTTGACAGACGATGCAGCTTGTAGCGTGCACCTGTCGGGGTTCGCTTTTCAAACTTATCACGAGCTTTGATAAGTTTGTCGTTCCAAGCGTCACGACCTACATCCTCGAGATTATGGATGTAGGCGTTCCACGCCTGAAGTAGTGAGGGACCATCACGTTTGTGATTCCCACTGTACCATCGATGTCTGAAGAAAGCATCGATGAAGAACTCATGTTCAGCGCGATAGTCTTTCGCGCTGGGGTCAAGGTGATGAATCCTTGACGAATCGAACAATCGTGTTCGATAACGATCACTCGTCGTCGCCGACAAGTGATCCATGACAGATTTAGGAGGCATCCATGCCTTCTTTTCTGGAGCGAGACGCAACACATTGCGGTCCCGCTCTTCCTGCGACGTGCCGACAGAAGTACTGGCACCTCGCTGTGAAGTGGTGTCCATTGGAGAACCGACACCACTATTAGCGCCCGAGTCTCGCGACCTCGAGCGCCTTCGCTTCGGCGATGGTTCATCTGACTCATCAGATGAACCAAAGATGCTGCGACGCAAAGCATCGTCCATGCCACGCTTGGCAGGCGGCTTGGATTCAATTGCCGTCGATACGGATCCGTCATCCGTATCAGGAGAGTACGAGACACCGAGCTCGTACTCTGTGAAGACACGAGTGTCTTCATGACCAGCGCCTGCATCACCAGGTGATACAGGCTGAGTCGATTGAGCAACCGATGGGACATCAGTTGCTGTAGTTTCTGCTTCGGCGTCCGCACAGAGACGTGCAGACGCGCTCTCGGCGGCCTTGCTCGCGCATCGCATGGGCTTGTTTACCATGCGATGAGATGTTGGAAAGTGGACGCGGACCAACAAGTGCAAACCCCGTCCCAAATGATTTGGGACGAGTATCCATTTAGTCAATCAGTCACTAAAGTGACTGATGGTTAAGGGGGGTGATGTAACGGGGTGAATCGTTACATAACAATTTATAAGAAATTGTTAATAGAATATAACTATAAGAGTTATATTCTCAGAATATTGTCATAAGGACAATATTCTGTAGCACTTCCAAGTAGTTCCTAATTGGTTGATATAGGCCATTATATCAACCAACGAAGACGCGCCACGACAGACGCACGCAATGAGTGGTGAGCAGATAACTGATTTACACATTTGTATTTAGACATAGTTAGATGAAGATAAATAGTGATTTATTGCAGACATTAACTATTATAAATACAGTTCTACTTTTTACTCTAACCGAGTACTCGCTTCTTCTTACCGTCTTCCTCTGCACGTACGAGTGTACGTGAAGTTACGAGGCACCGCCTTATTCTGTTATCAGAATAAGTAGCTTGTACTGTCACCAGTACAAGCTTCAGGGTGCCCCGTTACACCTGCATCACCAGGTGATACAGACTGAGTCGATTCAGCAACCGATGGGATATCAGTTGCTGTAGTTTCTGCTTCGGCGTCCGCACAGAGACGTGCAGACGCGCTCTCGGCGGCCTAGCTCGCGCATCGCATGGGCTTGTTTACCATGCGATGAGATGTTGGAAAGTGGACGCGGACCAACAAGTGCAAACCCCGTCCCAAATGATTTGGGACGAGTATCCATTTAGTCAATCAGTCACTAAAGTGACTGATGGTTAAGGGGGGGGTGATGTAACGGGGTGAATCGTTACATAACAATTTATAAGAAATTGTTAATAGAATATAACTATAAGAGTTATATTCTCAGAATATTGTCATAAGGACAATATTCTGTAGCACTTCCAAGTAGTCCCTAATTGGTTGATATAGGCCATTATATCAACCAACGAAGACGCGCCACGACAGACGCACGCAATGAGTGGTGAGCAGATAACTGATTTACACATTTGTATTTAGACATAGTTAGATGAAGATAAATAGTGATTTATTGCAGACATTAACTATTATAAATACAGTTCTACTTTTTACTCTAACCGAGTACTCGCTTCTTCTTACCGTCTTCCTCTGCACGTACGAGTGTACGTGAAGTTACGAGGCACCGCCTTATTCTGTTATCAGAATAAGTAGCTTGTACTGTCACCAGTACAAGCTTCAGGGTGCCCCGTTACAGGGACGATAAGCACTTATTTTCGTGATGTTGTTCGAGCACTTCGATTCGGAGATCTATGTGAAGCTGCTTATGCGTTTGATAGGAAGGAGTCTTGCGCACGTCGTTTCATTGCACCTGTTGCTTTGCAACTGTGGCCAATCATCACTTCACACTGATTTCAAGCGTGAAGTTGAAGTGCAGCCGACCTCCTACTGCACTTTATTCGCGCGACGGAAATACGCTTTTGTCGTCCATCTGGCGTCATTAGGGTTGTGAAGCAGACTCCTTAGAAATGCCGAATCCAGGTTGAAGTCAGAATAATGTCGCGTCGTTATTCGGCGAAACCCACGACTTCAACTTCATTCCTCCAATAATACTCGTCAAAAGCTCTTTTTACCAACCAGCTCGCGTAGACGCACCCGGTCAGAACCAGAAGAAAGGCCTGATCGAGGTAAGAAGCTGAATCAATGATTTGCATAATCATGGCATCCAGCTCCGCTTATCGGGTCAATTACAGTGCAGCAAAATCAAGGTCGCTGTACCATCACCTTTGACGAGGTCATAGTCGGCATTTGTAAGTTTAGGCACGTCTCCATTGTTTTGAATCAAGACCGACGAAAATTTGACCTTACTGATTACTCTCGGTGATTTGTTGGCGCGGTGGTGGTACAGCAGCCAGCCAATCGATTCTAGTCTCAGCGTAGCAGATGCATTTAACAGCAGATGTTTGCACGACCACGACGGTAGTGTCGCACCATACAAAGGCTAGTGCAAAAGCCCGGTACGTCTTTTTATCGGCATCCTCAGCCTTTGAATGGTGGACGTGTGTTTTCCAGCTCCACTGACTCTCTGTCGCTCTACTTGAAGCCTTTGCATCATTGTCGAATTCCAGAAGTAACTTCAATTTGAACACCACGCGTCCACGACTTGCATCGACGTTCTAGTAGTGAGACTTTACAATCGTAGATTGGTTACACTTGAAGCAACTGAAGCATACGGTGCATCGAGCTTCAACGTCCATTGACTCAGCCATCTTTCTCCACGCGGCCTTAGTTCAGCAGACCCAGTCACAGAGGCTTTCCAACCACTGCACACGGACGATGTTGTCGATGGTAAGCAGTTCCCAGAGCGTCGGTACAACTGCCCCGAGCAAGGCTGACCCGAGCAGCTCAAGTTCAAGTGCCAGCATGAATGCAGGAGATTCAGTCGCCCATGTCATCGCGAGCTTGGCTCACAGTGGAAGTAGCAGTCCGCAGGAGTCCGAATGTCATTTATACGACGCGCTGCGTCTCCATGACCCATTGGATCAATCACGGGAAGACCAGGTTACTTCAAATGGGACCATGTATCATCATCATCGTCCAAGTGTCAGTGCGGCCAGCAAGGCTGCTGCGGTGCTCACCGCAGTGTCTCGTGCTGGAAGGCTTACTGCTGCTACTACAGCACCAAAGAAGCGGTCAACAAAATCCAAGTGCTCCCCAGGCTTGCGAAGCGGAAAATGGACTTCAGAGGAGGAAGATTTTACCAACATGATCATCCACTTCTTCAAGCGCGGGTTGTTGGATGTAGAGGATGGTACTTCACTGCGCTGGTATCTCGCAAAGCGTCTGAACTGCGAGGCTATGCGCGTGACCAAGAAGCTTAAGGGCAATAGCTCCATCGGTAAGCAGGTATTCCGAGCCGTGGAAAACAATCTCGTCAACCGCCAGGCCATCCGACTCGCACGTGAAGAGTTGGCTGTCGTAGAGTCTCGCTTTCTTGAGTCGCTCAACGCAGGAGGAATTGTTTCGGGCAGGCAGCATGTAGCATTGGCACCGCTGCCATCTTCTCTTGCTGTGTCAGTTCGCGGTCGCAAGATCCTGCCGAACATAAAGCATAGTGAGGGATCACACCAGTCAACGGTGGCTCGCATGCCACAACCCAAGTCGGAAGATGCAAGACTGCTGATACACTTTTTCAGTGAAGCGCAGGATACGAACTCCGACGAAGAGCCAGAAGCAGAGAAGAAAATGGAGTCGGAAGCAGAGCCAAGCAGCCTCAGCATAGACCTGAGCGATAGACTTGGCAAGAAGCGACCGCTGATAAGCAAAACGACTGCTGATGCAAGCAAGCACAGCAAAATATCGGAAGAGTAGGCGACCGACAATTGAGACGACGCAGTTTTCGGACTGAGCTCGGCAAACCGCACTTGCGAGACTATGATGGCGATTTCTTGCGAGTCTAGAGAGCATCGCTATACCTCCACGTATTTACACGACAACGACCTGAGAGTTCAAGGAGGAGGACGGTGTATTAGATCTCATTGCCGCTCAGGTACTTGAAGCGTGGCTCAATTGATGAGAAGAGAAAGGCAGACGCTAGACGCCACTACCTGCCACATGTGCATATTCATGACGGTCTAATATACAAGTTCACGAGAAGCGCTCCGTAGCCACAACGCTCTGGTTTGCACCGCCGGAGCGTCCAATTGTAGCACTGGGACTGGCAGCAGGAGCAATAGTAGCTCTGCCTAAAGCAGTGCAGGTGGTTGAAGTGATAGTGCCCGGCGTGGCCATACTGAATCCACGCGCCGAGACCCACATGAGTACCCACTTCAAGTTAGTGAGCGCATACTTGAGCGCCTTGGTCCACTCCTTGTGCTTGTTTTTCAAGAACAGAATCGAGTAACCTCCGATGGAATGCTTTGCAACCTTGTAAGGAAATCGGATGGATGGGTCTCGAAGACGGACAAACGCCATTAGTTGGCCAATACATGTGATCCATGCACCTAGACCCAAGTTGAAGTGAGACTCAGCAAAGTTTTGCTGGTCCGAACCGTGTCTATCATGGAGAAAGTGCAAGCATTAACCCATGCCGTCTCAGTGACAATATCTTCACAACAACAACTTACAGGCAGTACTCCATACGAAGATTACTTGTTCGGATCATTTTCGAATAGCTCCCGAGCGGCACAATCTTAAAGCTGCAACATGAAACTCCATTCGTCAGTTGTCAAACACGTCAAGACGCAAGCTGAGCGTGAAATTCAAATCGCCAGACGTACTCCGAAAACTCCAGACCAACGATGCTCGCCAATGTCTGCAGTAGCAAAGCACACTCACCAAAAGCTGCGTTTATCTCATTCCATTCCACCGAGAACGACGCTGAATGACCCATACGAAAATGATTGATAGTTCCGAAAGTGCCGTCATTGCCAATGACGAACATGTCTGTCAGAATGTTCAAATGCTTGGCCTGCGACACTTTGCACTCCATCGCATCGACTTGCGCTGTACCAGTGTCCCGCATTTCGTTGTAAGCGACTTCTTGCAGCTGCAACTCGTTCAGCTGATGCCACAAGTCAGCTTCTTCACGTACGAGCGCATTTTCCTCTTTGTCCATAGCTTCTTCTTGCTCAGCTAGAGCCTTCCTCTCGTCCTCCATTAACTTTAAATTCTCCTCCAAAGCATTCACCTCACTCTCATGCTGCTCCAATTCAAGCAAAAATCACAGTAAACATCGAGTCAAGCGGCATACTAAAGTCATGCACGTACGAAGCGGATCTTGTCATCGATTTGGTCAATAGCGTCACTGCGCACACTCAAGCTCGTCGTTTTATGAAGGAACCCCACAAAGCAGCGCTTTTCATATCGAGCCCGTTCAGCACGTCTACAGCGCACGACGTTAGTTCGTCACCATAAACGTTTGAACAACAGTGTAAAATGACACACACCCGTCAATCATCGTGACCATGCCGTCCATGCACTCCTTGCACACTGGCGTCGTCACGGGCAGCCCCACGCTGCACGTCATATCAATAAACAAACCAAAAACAAGATTAGTTCCCACCACACACACACATCAGCACATGGTACGCGACGTACCAATGCGCCTGTTGCATCGTAAGCAGCTTGACGCGATGACTGAGATCAGCGTACGTCGGAACAGCCACTAAACTGTCGTCCATTGCTTGAAAATGTGCCTCTCGGTGACTGGAACAACCCACATGATCCTCAAAGCATCTCCCGGTAGCATCAGCAGTGTAGCTGTCCCTCAACATTTGCTCTTGACGTCGCTGTCGCTGCTGCAGCTTCTGACGCCGTTGCGTCTGTTGTCGTTTCTGTTCCTCCTCGTGCTGTTGCTGCAGCGAGAGATTGTAGCGCGCACTCGCGTACAAATCCTCTCCAAAAGCTCCTGACTCATCCATCTCGGGCGGCGCCATCCCAGAACCCGCTGGCAGCTTCTGCAACAGCAACATGCTCTGAGACGCGCTCGCGGTTGGAAGAAGCACGTACGACTCGCCCAATACTGCAGCGAAAACCGACATAAAAAACATACCACCTTGTAGCTTCGATCCACTTTATCACGCTTGCCTACGCTCCACATCCATATCGATCGTACCTGGCGCGCTGAGCAGCTCGCTCTCGAGCGACCGACGGCAGTGCTGACATGTCTGCATGCTGTCGTTGTGGCACAATGCGGCAACCTGTCATCCATCATGTTTCCGTTCTCGATATGCTCTTTCACAGTCTCAGCACCCCGTCGCAACATCAACCACAACCCGATTCTAAAATCCACCGACATGATCTACTACAGCAACCGGCGGTTATGGCGCCTGCTGCTGCACGCCCACGGCTCGTCCATCGCCCGATCGTCCACTCTCAGTCGCGCCGCTGTCGTCGTCGCCCTGTCGACTGCCTTGACGCTCTCAGTGCAGCAGCCGAAAGAGCCCGTTCCCTCGACGTCCAGAAAAGAAGCACTAAACCAGCACCTGCTGCTTGGCGCCTCTAGTTTCCTCGCTGTTCTCGTCAGTCTGCGGCTCTTTAGTGCGTTGCGCCAATGGCAAAAGGGCGTCACGACCGTCAGTGCGCTCGCTGATGCCGCGCGCACGCTCATGGCAACGACCTGCGCCTTCGTCCACTTCTCCCGCAAAGGCGCGGCGACTGACCGCGGGGTCCAGCTCCGCACCAAGTGCCAGTTCCTCCGCGACGTCAAGCGGTACATTCTGCTGTACGTGACGTTGATGTTTCACGAATGTAACCGATGCGACGCGTCGGTGGAAGTGCGTGCGTTGCTGACGCCGACAGAAGCAGAGGAGCTGCTGAGTACCGACATTTTGACCCTCGGTGACTGCACGTGGAACCGGGAGCGCAATGCCGTCGGCTCGGCCAATAAGATGCGCGCAGCGATCGTCGAGCTCTGGCTCCGACGGACGATGAACAGAGCACGGAGGAAGAGCTACGTGACAGGGGAACAGGCCATGGAGCTCAATCAAATCGTCTCGACGTTGTCGCAGCTGTACACGAGGATCTTCAATCTGTGCAATGTACCCATTGCCTTCAACTTGGCACAGTGTCTACATGTGTGCTACATCGGGTACTTGCTGCTTATGGGTGCTGTGTTGACACCCGTGATGGGCTTGATGGCTTCGCTGTGCGTGGGCATTGCCGCGGTGCTGCTGATGGCACTGGACAATGTGGCTTCCTCTATTGAATGTCCCTTTGGTGTCGATGCAAACGATGTGGACCTCGAAGCACGCATCTTGTGTATCCAAGACGAGCTCAAGGTGATATTGCAGGCTCATTTTCATTCCGTTGGCCACGTCGACTTGTTCAAGGAGCAAGACCGCATGGCGTCGCTGTCGTCTCTTCTTTCAGTAGACATCGATACTGTAAGTCGAGGTCGCACGCGACACGAGTCAGTATCGTCGTCCTACTCGTCAACCGAACGCCCGTCGCAGTATACCGCGCCATCGTCAATGTCGGCCACTGATCGAGCCGTGTTGCTCTCAACAGCCCATTCAGATGCTTACGGTACGATTGCAGAAGCCGATGATGAATTGGCAAGCCCACCGGCAATGCACGGGTCGGATGATCACGCGCATGTTGCTGTCTAGATACCAGGTGCCGTGAGTATTGCAGTAAAGCTCATGATAGTGTGGACATCTATGCGAGGAAATGCACAAAGAACATCGTGAAAGATCGCTGGCCATGCAGAATCTTGAAAGCGGATACGCAACTGTACGTAACCTCTTACATCCTGTGTTGGCAGAGAGAATTGTACAGCATATCGCGGCGTGACCGCTACGGGGCTCCTTGGCCAGAAATGCTTTTACCGGACATCAGCTAAATGGTTGCGATCCCCGAAGTACTAACGATTCATACACGACAGCACGAGCTCTGTGCGTTGCACAGCAACGTCATCAACCTCGGCGAAACAAGCGCACAAAGCTCACATTCACTCATTCTACGTGTTAATTCACGGTCCAACCTGAACTAGTCGTGCTACACAGATCACCGGTCGATTTAAAGAACTGCTGAGGATCGTCGGCAAAGTTGCGATCCAGGTCACTGTCTTCCATGATGGGCATGCTCCGACCCACCTCGTAAGCCCCGGAAGTCGGCAGACTAGTGCCAGGGGGGTCCATCGCGAAACCACCAAAGTCTGGGCCATTACCCACCTCGTAAGCCCCGGAAGTCGGCAGACTAGTGCCAGGGGGGTCCATCGCGAAACCACCAAAGTCTGGGCCATTATCAACACCGAGTGGCTCTTGAGTATCATATTCCCACTCCGACTCGTTGTCGAAGGCAGACTGGAATGAACATTTGCCACTTTCGGAAGGTTCCGAGCCTGCAAAGTCGTCATCCAGATCTGCAAAGCTGGCGCGGTCGTACGGATTCAAGGAGAAAGACTCATTACTTCCAATCGAAGCGGCCATCTGATCAGGCTCGGCGCCTATCGTCCTGTCAAACATGCTGGTGTTTACAGCATTAATCGCGAGATAGGATGGAGTAGTGTTGCTGTCTCTGACGCTGGGGCAACCACTCATGTCCAGACCCTGTGGCCGCTGGCCGGGTGTCTTGTGTGATAAGAAGTTCGAAGACGCCAAGGTGCAACCGCTCGCTTGATTCATCTCGCTCGCACCCAGCCGGCACGGGGTCTTTTTCATTTTCACGTCGTCGCGGCGTTTCTTCATGTAGCAGAAAAGCAGACCAGCCAGCAGGATGACAGCACCAATGCCAATACCAATGTAGAGGAACAAGTGGCTCCCGCTGCTCCCACCGTCAACAGAAACGGTCGCGCTCGAGTAGATGGCCATATCGATGCGCTCGCCGTCTACAGTCACCAAGGCAACGCGGCCAAACATTGTGAACTGGCCCGGGGTGCTGAATGTATACTTCGTCGAGTAGCTGACAGCACCGCTCGTGAGATTCTTGTCACCATATTCGGCGATAGTAAATGTCGACGAATCTTCGCCCGCGTACGTAGAGCAGTTGGCATCAGCCAAGCTCCGCTGGCAACCACCGAAGACGGACACGGGCACAACGGAGTAGACGCCTGTTCGCGGGTTCCTGATAGCATCTGTCGTGGAGACCTCGGCAATAAGGGTCGGGTCATCGGTGGAAGATTCCGCCAGATCCAGCATCCAAGTGATATCAATCGTGTCCCCGACGTGTACTTCTGTAGAAGAGAGCGACATGGACATGGAACCAGGACAGTAATCCCCTGTGCGGATGGTGAGGTCACCGGAGACGCTCGGGTCGAACACAGACACATCCTTGGCTGTCCAGCAATACGTAGTCGTGCCGTCGGTATCAACACTACTAGGCGTCGTCCCAGCGACGTCACCGATTTGCACCGGGAAGAACGTTACAAAGTCGGCGCGCGACTCGCCAGCAACGCTGACCACGAGGTGAACGTACCCTGTGTACTTTCCATCCTTGGGCACCACGAGCTCCTGGGAGCCGAAAACAGCCACGTTGTCGTTAAAATTGTTCGGGTTGTTCTTCGTCGAGTAGTGAGTCGAGCTCGCGCTGTTCTTCATGAGGAGGTCGCACGAACGCCAGTCACACATGACCACGTTCGCGACCGCGATGTCGAACGTGTCGGAACTGCTCGTCAGCCCGTCCGAAGCATTGCCAGCGAGAAGGTAATCGGGCACTGCCACCTTCACAATTGGTTCAGGGAACGCAAACTTTGGATTAACCGATGACGTGTCCAGCGTAGCGGTGTAGCGGAGTGGGATGCGCGCGTTCTTCTCCAGTTTGTTGGCAATGTCCACCCGGACTGTGACAGGGCACGAGCTGCCTGAGTCCTGCACCACCACGTTGCCCTCCGAAGGCTGTTTCTCCGAGTATTTCTCCGAGATCAAGTAGCAGTACGTGGTACTGCCATCCATTTTGTACGTCACCCTGATTCCATCCATACAAACGACTGTCAGTGGCCAAAGTCCCGAGCTCGACAACCAATTCGAGACGCGCTAACGTACATGATCACGAGTCACTGGAGCTCCAAACGAGGCGCTTGACAAGTGAAAGATGGCGGCGTGGACGATCAACAAGTAAGTAATTGCGAGTCTCGTGTCGGACGACGACAACACCGTCGTCCTTCGCACGGAGTTCCGTATGGTGGAGGGACCGAAAGTCCGTCGGAAAACGCCAGTTCGCGCACCGTCGTTGTTCGGACGTTGTTGTGTGCGATCCTATCGAACGGAATGCTCGGCTTGTTACAAGGACGGCATCTGGCTGAAGCGTTAGAGGAGCTCGTTTATCTTGAAAATCGACAATCCCAACACAGTAGGCACAAGCAGCTGTTTTGTAACGGCTCTAAAGGTTGGCATTAGTGTACAATGCTGCGAATACGCTCGGTTTCGAATGGAATAGCTGAGTACGCAAATAGCGCGTGCGACATGTTTTTTTCTCGAACGACATGATCTCAACGTGGCAGAGCAGTTACTACTTCACTTGACTGATCTGAAAAGCATCTCCGCACTTCAGTTGTACAGCAGACAAGCCATCATATCATGACTTGAGCTTCCCAGAGAAGCTCAATAATTGCCTCCCAAAAGTTTTTTTTGGTTGGAGAGAGGGTCTACGCTGACGATGGCTCGCTACACATGAGATAGCGCTACAACTGTTGTACTCCAGTGTATCAGCAGGAGACACGACGAGAAGTCAGAGACGCCAACAAGGCCATTGCAACACTGATTGCCTACGGCGGCTCCGGTCGATAGTGTAGGTGTTCCTCTGGCAGCTGTTTATACTCTGAACAGGAGCGCTGTGCTACTTTGAAGCCCCCTCGGGCTCCGTGCTGACTCAGCCAGCGCGCATGCGTCGAAGTGAGCGTCGACGTCATGTATGCTGTGTACTGTGCTAGCACCCTTTGCAACCGCCTTGTTACGACTACGTCGGCATGAAATGCTTTATCTCCTGCGGTGAGCAGTCCGGCACGTATTCCTCACAAGTTGGTGCCCTGGGTACACACTTTTCGTGCACGCAGTGGTGCCTGTTGGAATGGACGTCGGCTCAATATAATGTCGTCAATATCACGGCGTTCCCGGCCTCAGGGATGGGCACGACGGAAAAGAGCGCAACGAAACGTTTAGAGGGTACACCTTCTTTCAATATCGTTTGTTCTCCAAGACTAGCAACGGCTGAACTCTGCCATGAGTCGAAAAGAGTCGAGTCCTAAACTTGCGCGAAGGAATGGCATTTTTCCATGGAGTGCCTGGCGCCCTGTCATGTGTTATGATCCGAACTTGCAATGAGGATTGTAGGCAAAAAAAGCCTTAGCCTATCGTCCACCAGCTTGTCGCCGGCTCTGAGGCCTCATGGTATTGGTAATTCGCGGGACTTTTCATTTACCGGGATGGCCTACAACGCAACAACCGCGTGCGGGCATCTGTTGCCATTAAGGACGATGTCAGACATGGACGAAAACTGACTGCTGCCTATACTGCTTTTTACGCGGGATAGTTCGCTCTTAAGCCATTGCTTTTCTAAATTAAACTGCTACAACATACTCATAGAAAGCGCATTTCCCGTCCAAACCGAGCATTTCTCTCGGAGACAAATCGATATGCTGCGTCAGATGGAGTCGGATGTTGTACCACATGTCAAGAAAGAGGTAGACGTATTTATTTACGCTTTTAAATGTTGTAGGATATATGATGTATCCTTGGCCAAGTTCACAACGCCATCTCCTCGCTTGAGTCTGGTAATTGTACGGGCCTGTCAACTGAGGTGACGACTTTCTAGAGTATCTAGCTACAATCTGAACCGGCATATGTGCTCCTCAAAACATCGTATCGGCCCCACAGTACTATTTGTAATGACTCACTAGCAATTCGAGGACAGATCGAACAAAATATTTGCTTCTCATGTTGTTTGTTGATGCTTAATGAAGGCCGTATCTACCCTAGCTATGACGCGCAACTGCAATTTCACCCACGCTAGAAAAACGTGGAGTTACAACTAGTAGCCCCTTTATACAGGGAAGTAAACGTGTACCGTTCGCCCATCAACTTGGTAAATAAGATTGTCGTACAAATCGGCTTCACGATTGTACCGCTCTTCCTAATACTAAACGTAGTTGCCTTTCTCCGCGACCAAAACAAGACGTCAGATTTTATTATGATAAATTAAACCAAAACAAAAAAAACTAGTTGTTCTGGTCTGAGATGGGGTGATTGGTCGTTGGCCAAATTCGAGTCCGATACTCAAATTGAAAGCATTGTGTGGTCCACACCAAGTACGATATCCCAATTCGGACCCATACTCCCGTCGTTAAGCGGCAGACCGGATCGCCAGCAGGATGCAGAGCATTCAGGACGTGGCCATGGGCGGCGAATCCAAGCACGAAGAAGAGGAAATGGAAGATATTGAAAAGCCGGTCATACCGGTATGCTTTTCCACACCGCGTCGACAGAAGCACAAGACTGGCGGTGCTTTCGAGTCAAGCGTCACCTCGGAATCGCCTCGGCGGCGCCTGTCAACGTCTCAAAGCCGCCTGGTAGCCTCAGGAATGGAGGAATCACCGGCTAAATACTCCCCTAGTAAAGTAAAAGCAGCAGTGCGCTCGTTCGCGGATTTTCTGCACTTTCTGGTACGTTTTTCAGGTCTTAATAGGATCAAAGGGTGGATTAAAGCACTCAAAAGCTGCATGTTGTGTTTTTTGTGACTTACAAGGAAAAAGAAGGACGCCACGAGGAAGATGCACTGATGCCTGTAATTATTCAGAGATTCGCAGAGCTTGGGGCCGTCATCGAGTCTCAGAAGAGACATATTGATCGCTGGAAGGTAGTAATCTGATGCAAAGGGAGATCGGGTATTGAGGCTAATGCTGCCGTGTTGTCAACACAGGGCAAAGAACTGGACTTGGCTATCGAAGAGGCCCAGCAGAATCTAGAGCTCATCCGAGAGCTTGGAGAGGTGTGTGTAGATGGGTGATATTGGTTTTATAGGTGAAGCTGATGGTAGACCCTGTTTTCACTACGGTTTCGATAGACCGTTCAAAAGCAGGAGCTTCAAATTGCTGGAGATAACGTAGAGAAGCAGAAGTGGGAGGAGAAGTACCACCTTGCTGCTCAGGAAGTCGAGTCGCTGAAGAAAGAAGGTACTTATCAGATCCAACAGCTACGCGTGGAAGTTGAAACGTTGCGGCAAGCGGGAGTGGATATGGAGACGACGTTGAAGGAACGAGACGCTTCTCTTGAGACCTTACAGAAAAGCAATGATACACTGCGCTCACAGCTGGAGCGGATGGAGCGTGATAGCTCGGTGGTTGTGCAGGAAAACACGAAGCTGAAACAGCAAGAGGCCCACCAGTCCGACAAGCTGTATTACCTTAACCAGGAAATTAATAAGCTGCGCGAGCATAGCGAGTGCGTAGTGAGCAAATGCACGGAGCTTGAAAAAGATGTCACAATTTGGCAGTCGAAACACGAGGAGAAAGAGTGTCAGATTCAGGAACTGGAGAGCGCATTAAAACATGACAGACAGGAAATGGGACAGCGGGAGGGAAATCTTGAGCATGTCATGGGCGAAAACCGTAAACTGCAGGAGCACATGGAGCGAATGGCACAGGAGCACGAGAGACATCTTGCTGAGCAACACAGATGTCTGAGGGAGGCTGAATCAGAGCGACAACGGCTACATCAAGCACTCGAGCAAAAAACGAGTCAGTGCCAACAGCTAAAGAACGAGGCAGGTGAAATGCAAGCGCAGATTGAAGTGCAGGCGATGTCTGCAATGAATCAACGCGAACAGCAGTTGCTGGGTGAAAAATCTCGACTTGAAGAAGAGCTGCGACGTAAGCTCAGCGAAATGAATGAGGAGAATGTTAATTTGCAGGCTGAAGTTGAGAACCTCAAAGGCATTAACCAACGCAAGAGTACCGAGATTGGTCGTCTAATGGCATCCTCGCAAGAAGCAGATCAGCTGAAGCAGCGCCATAGCACGGATACTCAACAAATACAGCAGCTTATGGAAGAAGTAGTGCAGGCAAAAGATCGAATCGAGAGCATATCCAAGGATATGGCTGCCAAGGACACCGCCCACGAAGAAGCGATGAAGGTGCAGTCAGCCGACTTTGAAAACCAGTACAATGATTTTGTCTCTCAAGTGGAGGGACAGTTTAACACTTTGACACATGAGAATGAGCAGCTGCGAGTGGAACTGGATGAGACGGCGAAGAAACTTGAAATGAATAGTGACCAGTTGCTAGCAGACAAAAGAGAGATTGAGAAGTGGCACTCGGAGTACGAAGTGCTCCAGCACCAATTACACGGCGTTAATCGTGAGTATGATGCTTTAAAGCGTGAGTATGAGCATCGTCTACATGAAGTAGAGTCAAGAAACAAAGATAATGCAGAGCTACGCGCTCAGATCGAGCACCTTCTCTCTCCCGGTCGCGAACACACAAACGAAGCAGAACTACTGCAGAGCGAGCTAGTACGCTTAGAAGACCAAAACCGGGAGCTACAAAGACAGATTGAAGCGATTCGGGTTGAGGCTGATGCCAGACTTAACGAAGCTCAGCAAGTACACAGTCACGCCATCGAGCAAGAGGCAGCTCATGCAAGTACGGTTCGCGCGCTATGCGAGGAGAAGGAAGCGATGAACCGTGAGATGCTGTCGCTGCATGCACAGAAGTCAGCTCTAGAAGCTGAAGTTACGACAGCCATTAATGAGGCTGAACGGTGGAAGGCATCTGTACAACTACTCGAAAACAGCAAAGGCGAACTTGAGCTTCAGATTCAAGAAGTGATGCGACAGGCGACTGAGCAGATCGAGTCTCAAAAACATTCAGCAGCAATGGTCACAGAGGATGGCCGAACTCAACTGCAAAACTTGACGACCCAACTTGTACGCCGTGATACGCAGATGAACGAAGGTCATCAGCAACTACGGAACATGCAGGAAACGGTGCGATTGCTCGAAGAGAAGCTTCATGCTCAGCAGTACGAGTACGAGGGCTTACAAATGGCGAACGATGAGTTGACAGTCCAGCTCGATTCGCTTTATAACGAGAGACGCGAGCTGGAAGATAGTATACCTGCTTCGACCCTTGGAGTTCCGGCAGGGGTGGAAGAGGATCTTCTCCAAAAGCTAGAACGGTTTTCACAAGAGATGGATCGACAGGTCCAGAAAGAAAAGGAGAAGGCTATGCAGTTACAGGCACTTTTGGGCTCAAAACTGGATTCGGAACGGCAACGCTCGAATGACGACCGGACCAAGCTTGAGGAAGAGATTGCAACGCTTCAGCAACAATTGACAGGTTATGTTGCCGAGCTAGAAAAACAAGACTCAGAACTTCTGCAACTACAGCGTGAACGCAAAGAGCAGGACCGCACTCTTGATGGTATGCGACAGAAGATCGCGGCTCACGAGTCAGAACGGGGGACCCAAAGCAGTACAATTGACAATTTTGAGCATCTCAAAGTTTTGCATAAAGAATTGAGGACTACGCACGATCGAATCAAGACAGAAATGAAAGCGCAACTGAAAGCAAAAGAAGATGAAGTGGCTGATTCGCAGGATGTAGTCGCCGAGTTGCAGTCCAAGCTGGATCAAGAGAAGAAAATGACGAGACATTTAATGGATCTTTCTCAGCAGGAGAAAAAACAGCACATTGAGAAGGCTGAGGTCGTAAAGGAACTGCAGGATAGAGTGAATGAGTTGGAAGCGAAAGTAGCTTCTCTTCAGCACGAGCTTCAAGCAAGTAAGCAATCTGCTGATAACAAGCACCAAGCACGCGTGGAAGAGCTGGAAACGCTAGTAAACGATTTCCAGCACGCATTTCGAGTAAGTGAATCTACTACAGCTAGCAAGAGTGATGCAGAAGTGAAGGAGCTCAAAGCATTGGTGAAGCAGCTTAAGCAAGAGTTGCAAGCTAGCGAGCAGTCTTTAGCAGGAAGAGAACAGAGTGTCATGCACGAAAAACTGCAAAAAGAACGCGAGTATCGGTCGCTACAAGCACGTCACGACAAATTAGCTGCTGAAAGTGCCACACTTAGTGCTGATACGAATGCAAAAGTGGCGGAGATTGAGCACTTGCACCAAACAGTTGACCGGCTGCAAGAGACGATCAAACAGCTGCACGAGGAAATGCGCGATAACGCGGCTGATGCACGGGCGCGTCTCCGCGCATCCGAACAGCTTGCGCCCAAGCACGAAGGTTTGCAAGATGAGCTCGTCACACGAAAGCATGAAGCGCGTCAGTATGAATCTGAGCTGGCTGCAAAGGATGATGAGCTGCAGCATGAACGGAGGTGTGCTGATGAGCTAAAGCGTTGTTTTCAGGACAAGCTGCGCGGCAAGGAAAGCGAAGTTGCTTCGCTAAAGCAACAAATTGCAAAATTTCAGGAGCGACTCAAGCGCATTGCCCAGGCAAAGCTCTCTTCGAGACAGCTGACCGGAGTTGATGCCGCAGCTCGCGAAACAGCGATGAGCAAAGTTGAGGAAGCGTATCAGCAATCGATGAAGCGAGAGCAGGGGCTGAAATCTCGAATTGCTCAAATGGAAGCGGCAAGGTCGGCTATGCTCGACCAGTTCTGTCGCGAGATGAAACGACTTCATATCGAGATCAACGTTAACGGGTCGAATGTCGATGGGAACTCCATTGACGACAATGCTTTCCACCGTGGAATACTGGAAATATCAGCACATCTTCGTAGCTTCCAAGATCGTGAGACCCATCAAAGCGCACTGATCCATCGCAAAGACAATCAGATCGACGAGCTGAAGATGAGGCTGGACGAGCTGGAGAAGATGTTACGGCTTTGCAAACACGAGCTGAAAAAGCACGAAGAGAAGCAGCAGCAGGATAGAGTGCTACATGAGCAGGTGAGGATCATGCATAGGGATGTTTCGAAACTGAAGCTGGAAAACAAGCAGCTACGTGGAAAAGCTCTGGCTGACTCGACCGTCAACGCAAACGCTAAATCCTTTGAGATCGGTGACTGGAAAGAGAAGTGTACTCGACTCAGTCATCGCGTGCGCGAACTCAAGGAAATGAACACAAAACTACGGGAGAGATGCGTTTCTAAGGGCGACGTGAAGGCGCTTGCAGAGGAGGTTGACAAGCTTACAAGTCAAGTGTTGGAAAAGGATTCGCAGATTCAAGCTCTTCAAAATCGTGAGACGACACAATTCAGAAGCAGCTGCGCTTCTGCTGGATCGCGGCGCACAAAAGATCTGCTTGTCGCGTTGCAAAAGAAAGAGGACAAGATCATGGCGCTCAATGACCACCTGACTGGTCTCATGACGGAGAATATGCGGCTTCAGCACAGCACTGAGCAGTACATTATCCAATACGGTCCTCTCTGTGGAGTGACGACGGATGGTGTTATTGGCAACTCAGGTATTAGAGTGCCGGCCCGCTCAAACGACAGCAACTGGCAACAACCTACCGTTCGGTCACAATAGGCGGTGTCCTGCCCCCATGTCGTGACACTTCTTCTGTTGATCAATCTATTCACTGACAGCGTTTATTCACTCGTGACGTTTTCAGTGTTGATCAATCTATCCATTGGCAGCGTTTATTCGCCGCTGTTTAAACGTGTTCACACGAGCTGGCGCTGCTTTGTCTCCGGAAGATACGCACCGACGAAAACCAGGCACGCCACGTACGTGGCCCCGTAGGCAAGGAAGGTAGCCGCCTTACCAAAAGCCTCGAACAAAGTCAACATGGAGCCGTTGACGAGCAGCGAGATGAGCGACATGGAGAAAGTGCAGTAGCTCATGTATCGCGCACGGTAGCTGCTGTCTTGAAATAGTTCGCTCAGGATGACGACAAAGAGAGTGTTCGGACCGACGGCAGCAAACACGTTGAGCACGGCGAAGGTGATTATGATGCACCTCGAGGCCGCTGAGTCGCGAGCAAAATCGTCGCTGGAGTAAGACGCAAAAATACCAGCGCTTACCATGAAACAACTGCAGACGACAGCGAGGCAGAACAAATACACCTGCCGTCGAGAGAACCTCGCGATTACAAATCGACCGCAAAAAAGCACGGACGTGACGGCCACAAGAGAACACTGGAGGCCGAATATGTTCGCGTCTCTGTGCGAGTAAGTAGGACTTGACCTGGCGATGATTTCCGGCCCGTAGAAGAGAGACGCATCGACGCAATTGTTCACGTAAGCCAGCAAGATGCCAATCATAAGCTCAAGGTGCTGATTTCGCGACGGAGGCGATGACAACAAAGAAGTAGTATCCTGCTCGTAGGGGCATTGGTAGCACCCAATTGTCAAGCCCTTCCTGGTATCAGCAGTCGTCGTCCCAGCAGTGTCGATGGCCTTCTTCTCCAAAACGTCCGCTTCTCTGCCTTCCAAATTTGTCCAGTCCTCCTTCCAATGGAGCCATTTGATGCTCTCCGGGAAGTGGAAATGGAAGTTGTAGAGCACATACAGCGCCGGCAAGCTGCCAAAGGCCAAACAAGCTCTCCAACTTTCGCTTACGACGATCATAAAAAGATATGGCACAGCTACCCCTGAGTTCACTCTACGACAGAAGACCACAAACGCCAGCATCAGCATCACAGTGAAATCACCACCACAGCACCATCTCTCTCCCTCCTCACCCTAGTTGAAAAAGCGTGAGATACAAGCCTCGACTCGCAGCATCCACACACTCGCTAATGTACATGGGGATGAGCAAGATTGACAAGCCATTGCCCACTCCCGAGCACAGCCGCCACAGCACGAGCCATGAAAAGCTGAAGCTGGCAGCCCCAGCCAAGAGAGCCCCAATAATAGAGCACGAGCAGGCAAACATAGCCGTTGCTTTGCGACCGAAGCGGTCAGCCAGAAAGCCACCGACTAGCATCGAAATAGCGTCACTGAGCGTCGCTGAAGCACTCAAAGCTTCCTCCTGAGTCGAAGACAGAGCCAAAGCGTCGCTCATGTACTGCAACGTGGCCGCGAGGCTAGTTAGGTCGGAACAAAGCAACGATTAGCACTGATAAAGCCGAACGACCTTTCACAGAAGTTGAGTAAAGACGTACCTGACGTTGTAGCCGTAGATGAGCCCGCCCATGATGCTGAACAGCACCCACGTGCGACGCTTGGAGCCTCCAGTGTCTTCATTTTCATGCCCGTTGGCTATTTCCTTCTCCTTGGTGCTGGAGCAGCCGTGGGAGTGACGGTCCATTCGGAGCCGCTCGAGCTCATTGGCCTCTTCTAGTGTCATAATTGCGCACAGTAGATGGGATAATAAGTATCGTATTTCATGGAAGGTTTATCGATTCTATCGGTTTTAAATTATCGGTAAAAAAGACGGCGGAAATAGGTATCATTCGGAGAGTAGCTCGGTACCGAATTGATCAAGCACAAGTCCATTACGAAATCTAGCTCCCGAGACAAACCTCTTTTTGCTTTGACGGTACAATCAAGCCTTTATTTCAAGGTGTTGCAATATCGCGACACGCTTTGCCTTTGGGTTTTGTTCACGAGCTCTTTACTGGTGCCGTACTGTGAGTCACTCCTTCACACCTCGTCAAGAAATTGACCACGACATGTTTGCCATTTTTATGCATTTAGCTGATCAGTGGCTGACCAGCACGTCGATGTACACCTTCATGTCTCTACCCCAATTGGACACGCAGACGTAGGGGCATGTACTGTCATATATTTTACATCTGCGAGAATGGTGTCGCGTGCGTCGTATGGGTGAGCTGTTGCATGCTGTACTCGAAGTGTAGCTATAATCATTGCGAAATGCCTTCGAAATTGTTAGTGTCTCTGTGAACCACCAACTAGCGCAAAACGAATCTCTTAGTGCAAGCATGTGGCTTGTCTGAAAGGTATCACTGGCGTCTATTGGAAAGTTTGAGGCCACGTATCACGGCCGTTTTGTCCATGCGCGTATGATGAATCTCGTCTTCATCCGTAAAACCTCCGCTGCGTTCATGCATTCACTGCAGCTTGCCGGATCGTCCAATTATCGATAATACGTGAGATCAGTGAACATCTAGTACACAGTTCGTAACTTCATGACCAATTTGCCAACGTCGTATTCGCCATAATAACAGACTCCAAGCATTCGTACAAGACAAGTAAGTGCCTTCCTCCTTTCCTTCTCCAGTACTAACTTTTACTCATCAGGACGACTTTCTACCTCCTCAGCAATAATACTTGCTCCGTTCGTCACGGTTCTGAGAATTGATAACATCGATGCAAACTTCCATTTCTAGGATACAACCTACAGTTATTCCTACCGAGCTATTTCTACCAATCCGTTGAACAATCATCACCAGCGGAGAAATAAAGCGAACAAATGCCCAAATTCTATGCTGCTGCACGATGGGCGCCCAAGCTCATTCTGCTGCAGATTTTGTGCATGCAGGTGCGCCTCCCGTACCCATACTAAATCCCTCTTCATCTCTGGAATAACGTCGCTGTATCTCAACCGCTAACGCCTTCCACCTCGTCCTTATGTTGCATTGTACCCGTCGCTAGTTCTCCCACTACGTGGCTCGAGGTCTCTTTTTAACCATTTGCCACGGCGCCCACGTGACGCTTGATCAGTTCTTTGCGTACCACACGCACACAATCTCGAACGTCAACGGACTTAAGAACTGCTTTGCTGTCGTGGCTGCGGGCGTCATCAGGTTGGTGTCATCCCCACCGCATCTTTTTGTCCATCTAGTTGTGACTCGATAGTGCTGACTCCTCTTGATTCTAGTGCCGTGTGTCTCGTGCTCTTTGTAGAGCGCGCCAAGAAGTGTCTGGACTTTGGTGTGACGCTGTACTTTATCGACTTTCTGGCTCAGTGTTTTTATTCTGTACGTGTCCATGAGTTGCCCTGGTCGTCAGCTCAAGATGAAGAACGTGCTGATGACGTTTTGTGTGGGGCAGGAATTTCCCATGAGGTGGGACTGGTGGCTCGTGCAAGTCGGGGCAGCAAGTGTGACCATTATTTTGGGCGAGTATCTGTGCTCTCGTCGTGAGCTGGAAGAGATTCCGCTGGTTGATCTCTTCAAAAAGCGTGCTTCGCGCAAAAATTAGTTTGGCTACGGGTATGGTGGCTTCTAAGTAGACGGTATGAATGGGTGGAGTGTATTGATAACCACTTGAGACTGTCTAAACAATCACGATAGTGGACTGATCCCGGGTGTGGCATCTGTTTCAGCATCGTCACTATGCGAGTTGAGGCACTAGACACGCCAAGTGTACGAAGATGTAATTCAAAACTACCAAGTCAACATGCGAAAACAGCTTATCCGTATAGTATGAGCCAGCTCCAGATTTCCATCGTGAACGTGGCTGCAGTTCAAAATGTATTATAGCAGTCGCGAGGTGATGTGGAGTCAAATCCCAATACATCTGGAAAGCGAAAGAAAGACGTCCAATGCGGCAAAGTCGTGAGATTGGCAATGGAGGCAATATATTTGACACGCGCTTTTCCGCTTCTACGTCTTCCCTGTCTTTACTCTCCATCTCACGATCCTGTAGGAAAACGTTTGTAGACGCAGTCGGAGATTTATAAGATTCTGTCTATTGCCTTTCACTTGCTCGCTCTGCATCGGGGTATCCCATTACATGATATTGACACCAAACGGTGTCAAGAGAGAAATCCTCTAGCGCGACAATTCCCTGCCAACATTATCCAAGATGGATAATATTGAAGGGGTATTATCCCCTTTTGGATAATATTCATGCGCTGCTCAAAGATTGGTTAGTAAAAAACATATCAACCATAGATTGCCACCAATCGCTGCTAGGCGCGCGCAATGAGTGGTGAGCAGGTTGTCGTCATGCGGCAATGTAGATTAACCAAGTTAGATAAAGACTGTAGCCATATTGATAGCATAACTATATTTGATACAGTTATCTATTTACCTTTTGCTCAAAGTAGCTGTTTAAGTAGATAAGCCTACTCTGCACGTACTAATGTACGTGAAGTTTCGTGGCACCCCAAACAAAGGGAGACCGTTACACCTGGTAGCACTTTGTAGTCCGTCCAAGGACCACACTCGCATCGCCCAATATGAACATGATGAACGAAGTCGAAGGTGACAGCTTTCACGGAACCCGTGAAAGCTACTCCTATTTGAGCAATGTCGAAAGGAGTGCGATGGAACAAATGAGTTCATCCGTTGGCGAAGAAGCTGTCTGGATCATGCTTTCCACAAGGGATATAGATCAGCAGCATTTCGTCATAAGCAAGTTCTTGCAGCAAGAACTTAATGAGTCGCGAGCGCAGGTGACCTTTTTGCATTAACAAGATCACCAGCGGGATGAAGCACTGAGACATCAACAGTGTCTAAGTCCGCAGAGCCGACGCGTGAGCGTCGACGGGTTTCTCTTTAACTAATGATCTCCAAGTACCGTGGAGTCGAGTAATATTCCCCGTAGAGATGGTTCGTCGAGGTGGACGATGCCATCGAGGCTCGTCGCATCGACGATGAGCGAATACAGGTTTAATTTGCTCAGTCGCAATTGGCAGGGGAAGCCAGAATTGGGCTCTGAATCTCAAGTTGCACGACTCAAATGTATTTGTAGCGGAGATACACAGCTCCTTAATTCAGAGGAAGACTTGACGCTCAACGAGCAACTTAGATCTAAAGAACTAGACTCCACGAGACAACAAGCGTCATAATTATGGTCCTTGTTCCAGGGAAACAAACGATTCAATGAATCGACAGCACTTAGTGCTCAAGAGTAACTAGATGTCTCAGGGAGGTGTTGCTAACTCTTAGTAATCAGCGATCAACGACCAAAGACGCCTCGCAAGGCACGTGTCTTTAAGATCAAAGGGGAACTGAATTTTATTTACATTTACACCTGTAGAATATCTTAACCTAAGTAAGCACAAGTAAGATCTCTCCTATCTGGTGGCTGACACCAGTAAGCCCCTATAAATCGATAAGGTATTCTATGTCTCTTTCAGTGGGATATCATCCGTGAATCTAAGACAAATGGTGCCAGATACCCAATTACGTAAATTCCGTGACATGTTTGGGTCTGTAAGGATCTTCAAGATCCTTTTCAGTGAGACATTTGAGCCTTACAGAGCAGAGATTAAAACTCTTTCAGAGCTCCTGCAACTCAAGCAGAGTAAGCGTGAGGTTCACGCTTACGCCCAACATGTGCGCTCTCTTGCAATCTGCATAGTTGTGAACGCTGTAATTGAGTTTGTGTTGATCAAAATCTCCATTCAAGAGCTTTCAGACGGTCCCGTCAGGGGCCAACTGTTCCGCTGAGAGCTAAAGACGCTTTTAAAGACAGTCTATGCTGCGGAGCAGGGAGAATTTAGCGTGACACAGGCTCGATGACCCCTGCGAACGACAAGCGCTCGCTGGGATGCCATCGCTGTCACAAGCTGGGGCACCATACAGTCAAATGCAGTACCCCGCTCAGAACCTCGCGGTACTGAGCAACGTTGTCGTCCACAAGCCAAGAGAACTGGAGGAAGAGGATCCAACGCTGTTACAAAGATAGAAAAGCGAGGCGGACCATAAAAAAATGGACGGGGTCAGTAGGGGCGGAGCGCCATCGTGATCCAACAATATCTAAGATTTGCTAATTTCTCGAAGAAGGTTGCTCCCGACAGAGAGTCCTTGTGTGTCTCTGCAACTAATGATAAAGTATCTCTCATTGCCTTAATGTTAAAATTGCCAAAAGACTTGTCTTTTCGCGTCGTAGTTGACTGTGGGGCGCCGAGCAACTTTTTTGTCGCAGTCACTAGAGGCTGGAACTTTGGCCTTCGTCGAGCGGGAGATCCCATCGACAAGGATGACGGTACGCCTAGCGACAGGCTAATCGATCACTGTAAAGAAGCGTGTATTTGAAATCCACTACACGCTGTGAAGCGAACAGTACATTGATGATTTCATCGTAATGGACCTAGATGACAAGTTCGACGCCTTTACCGGGTTGCCTTGGATCAGGAGGTACGAGCCAAGGGTGATCTGGAAGTATCGATCGTAACGATGCCTTCCACCTGTTGCTCTGATGGCCATAGGATGAATGTCTTGAACGACCACAAGCGTGAGGGTGTACTGCGAGTGAGTGCGATGGCTTCTGTTGTGGTACGGTCGTTAGTACGAATGTACAAGACCGCAGTGTAGATGATCACTACACTGTGGAGCAATCTCTCGGTGACTGTGCAAACGCACAGGTGGGGCCGAAGATTCACCACTCATGGACGAGTGGATCGGGGCAGGAATGCATGCCTGAAAGACAGCATCCGAGAAAGAAGAAACCTAGTGCCAGTGATTAGCAACGCGGAGGTCTAAGGTCAACTAGTTAGTCGACTGCAGAAAATGGTTGTGTGACAGGGGTTGCGCAGCCGCAACCCCTGTCACACAACCATTCTCAAAAGACGTGGGGGGAAAATATTCCCACGTACTTAAAGTAGACGTTCCTTAAGTGTGCATGCTGTAAGAGTGAGTCCCCAGCATCCTGCGGATGTCACTTTCCAGGGAGTAATGAGGCATTATATGTCTCGGTCAATGACGGATCAAGCGTAGGCGCTTATACTCTTGATCTTATTGCGTCTTTGAAGCTAAATTCGGACATCTCACATTGCCAAAGTTAAAACCGAAACGGTTCTTACGTGATCTGTATAGCGGCATAGTCAGCCAGATCTGTGTACTCATCGCGGAAGACGAGTTCGTCACCGATATTCGGTCGGCAATGGCATTTACTAAGAAGATGCGAGTTCTCAGCAGTTCATTTATGGACGCTAGGATCATTGATGAGAAGACTCGTATCAAGAGAGATGCAAATCAGTCCTGGGATTTGCTCCAGGCAAATCCCTTGCATAGAAGTTTGATCGAATTTAAGGATGTATTTCCTAAATTCGTGCCATGCGAGTTTCCTGAGGATGATGACACTCGGCATGAGATAGAACTGAAACATTGTTCGAGATACTGTGTCATGAAGCAGTGGCCATTGCATCGTTAACAGGTAACAGAGATCGACAAGTTCTTTGCCGATCGATTAGCGGCTGATCATGTGAGGGAATCAACATCTTCACACAGCTCTCCGACCTTCTGTGTGCGAAAGGCCACAGGAGGGTGGCGGATAGTGCACGCGTTCAACAAATTGAATGCTGCAACGGTACCGGCTCAAACGCCGATTCCGAGAAAGGACGTCATCATAGATGGTATGGCAAAGCGCACCATCTTTTCATCCATGGATCTGATGGATGGATTCTATCCGATCTTCATGCTTGAACGGGATAACCCTTACACAGCAGTGAACAACCCCAGTGGTACGCTCTGGGAATGGCTAGTAATGCCACAGGGGCTAATTAACGCCCCTGCAACGTTTAACAGATGTGTTACGAATCTGTTGCGATCGGTGCGCGACTTTGCACCGAGTTACTTTGACGATGTCTTCGTCCATAGCCGGGCTATGGATGGAAAGACGGACGTGTATGTAGATAGAATACACGTCCGAAAGGTTCTTACAATTACGCGTGAGCATCAGTTGTTCGCGAACCTCAAGAAGTGTATATTCGCAGCGAACGAAATACCACTCTTTGGCTGCATCGTGGGTAAAAACGGTGTACGCCCTGATCCAGAAAAGATCAAGGCGATTAGTGACTGGCCTGTTCTAGTCGACGCCAAGGAGCTTCGAAAGTTCCTTGGCTTAGTGGCGTGCTTAAAGAACTCGCGCAAATACGCCGAGATAACCGTTCATCTCTCTCGTCTGTTGAAGAAAAACGAGAGGTGGTCGTGGAGTGCTGAGTTTCAGCACGCTTTCGAAGGTATCAAAATAAGCTTGACACAATCGCCTGTTTTGGCGATTGCGGACCAGGACAGACCATTTCACGTGGTTTGGGACGCCAGTGATTTTTAGATCGACTGCGCGTTAATGCAGTACGACTCAGACGGCATTTAGCGCGTCGTCTGCTACCACTCGCATCAGCTGCAAGCAGCTGAGCGTAACTACCCAGTGCATGTCAAGAAACTCCTTTCCATGAATGTGTACCGGCTAAATTTCGGGTGTATCGCTTAGGAGATAGGACCTTCATCGTTTACACCGACCATGCGTCATTACGCACAGCCGTAAACATTCCACACCTCTTGCAACATATAGCGAGGTGGCTGTCTTTCTTCTCAGATTACAACTTCTCCGTCGAGTGTAAAACAGGACGACTAAATGTCGTCGCTGATGCTCTTTCGCGTCGGCCCGATTTCGAGCCGACTGCTCAGCCCAACAGTAGGGGTTATCCCACTGCCGCAACACTATCAGTGAGTGTTCCTTCGTCGAATCTTCTCGACGACGTGCGTAAAGCATACGCGGAAGATGAGTCTCTTCTGCGATTGATGGAGTACGTGTCTAATCCATGCAGCCAAGCTTAGAAAAGCTTGACGTCTCATTACCGCTCTTCAACCGAACGGTATTCGGTTCGTGATGGACTGCTGTACTGTACAGCATTCAACGGCGACACGCCTCGTGTCGTCGTTCCCGCTAATGATGGTATTTGAGTGCGCATCATGTGTGAGTGCCACGATTCCCCAACAAGTGGGCATCGCGGTAGAAAAAAGACTTATCTCGCGGTGAGTCGTGAACTCTACTGTCCACGCCAGTATAAGTTTGTGAGCAAATACATTCGCACTTGCAAAGTTTGCCAACGATTGAAGCCTAGTCCTTCATCCTGTGCATTCTTGCAGCCTCTACCGATTCCGGCAGAGTGCTGGCAGTCCGTATCGATGGAATTTGTTGTTGGGTTTCCCAAAGACGCTTACAAGAATACTGGTATTCTTGTGTTTGTTGACCGATTTAGCAAGATCATACATCTTGTTGATGTACCGGAGTCAATCACAGCCCAGGTATGTGCTCGTGTCTTCATCACTACTACCTTCCGACTTCACGGGTTACCTTGTGAACGCGTGTCGGATAGGGACCCCCGCACCACAGCGGAGTTCCGGCAATCCGTGTTCCGTTCACTTAAAACACATTTGAAGATGTCGACTTCTGACCATCCCGAAACAGATGGTCAGATGGAACGCGTGAACCGCGTCTTTGAAGAGATACTTCGAGGGTACGTCCACTCGTTTACGAGTTGGAGCGACTTCTTGCCGATGGCAGAATTCGCCGTCAACAACTCGGTGCATGCGTCGACAACGCATACACCGTTCTTCGTGAATGGCCTACGCCATCCACTTTTACCCTCCTTCTTAGACTGTGACTCTAGTTTAGGTTGGACTCTCTCGAACAAAAACCGATCTGGTTCTTGCTCATCTCACGTCGACAATGGTGTCGACGTGATAGATGCCGATGTTGATCACATCAACATCGATGATGATGATGATGACGACGATGCTGGTATATTCAGCATCGATGATGATGATGACGACGACGATGCTGGTACATTCATCATCGACAACAACTGCCACACTGAGGACGATGACGCCCTCACTGGTGAAGACAACTTTCTTTCAGCAGTGCACACGAAGCGCACTGCTGTTAACAAAAATGAATCAGCAGAGGAATTTCTACTGAATCGCGAAGCGGTTGTCCGCTTCGTTCGTAATTCTATTGCAGATGCAATATACAAGCAGAAAAGAAACGCAGACAAACATGGAAGAGCAAACGTTCTTTCATTTAGTGAAGGAGACTTAGCTTTACCATCGCCAGTAAATCTACCAAAACACGCAGTGACATATGTGGACAGGAGCAAACTACTTCCCAGGTACATCGGTCCATTTCGTGTGTTGCGCCGCATGGGCAAAGCATACACGATTGAACTAACTCGTAGAATGCGTACGCATCCTAAGTTTTACGTTGGGCGTCTCCGCCCGTACTATCAGTACGAGGTCGCTTCGAGAGGCGAAGAACAGCTCCGCGGTCAAGGGCCGAGACCACCTCCGAGTGGTCCCGTTTCAACGAGCCAGTATGGTCGACTATCGAAGCGACCTGCTCACGCAGTTGATCAATGTCCTGACGAGCTGCAGTCAGCTCGTCACGAAGAGAACGAACCGGACGTTTGTTCTTAAGTTACGCGAGCGCAAACGTGGTACGATCATTCGAACGATCGTGCACTAAGGAATTGTAATTATCATTTACAAGGCCATAACGCTCTTAACGCGAATCCGTTCATGAGACAAGTCATCGTGTAACTGTTCCGTTACACGGTTCAGTTTCTGAACATCAATATGATCCGACCCTTGAGCCGGATCAGGTGTTCCCGCCACCACCACATCCTTTGGTTATTTCTGGCGGAGTTCAACGCTTTCTGGTGGAGCGCATTTTGAACCACCGCGACGAGAATGGCGTCCGGACGAGTTACCGCGTCCGCTGGCGTGGCTATACACCTGCCTGGGACAGCTGGGAGCCTCGTGCTCAGCTGATCGTTGATGTTCCGGGTCTCGTCGAGAAATATGACAAGACCCACCCGCTGCGTTCGAAGAAGGGCCGTCGGAAAACGACCTCCCCGAACGCGAGTACAGGGATTGAAAAGATCTAATCCCTTCGGCCATCTCAGAAGAGATACGCGCCCTCCAGTAGGGAACATTATGGAGGTAGGCCTTTCCAGGGGATCGATTCGCATCTGTCATGCAACTTGGACACGAATCACCCACGATAGACAGGGTAACCCTGCCTCTCTTGACAGTCGGTGCAACTTGTATCGTACACCGACTGGATTACGCTGTTCAAACCTGATGCGAGCTACATCAAGTTTATCGAGCCAGGCCTCACGGCCGATGCACACGCTGTTGTGGATGAAGGCATTCCATCCTTGCACCAAGGCCTTACCGTCTGGGCCACGGTTGTCATTGTACCACCGATGTTTAAAGATCACATCGATATAGAAACATTCCTCAGCACGGATAGTTTTCGTGCTGGAAGTAAGAGGAAAGATCCTCCTACAGTCGAACAACGGGATTCGATCCAGTTTGGTATTCATACCTGCCCATCGATCTAACTCCTTAGAGGATGGCATCAATGGATACTTCACTTGAGGAGCGTGGCGTAGGACATTGCGGTCCCTGGCCTCCTGATTGATCGTAGCATGATCACTGACACAGTAGCATCTCGATCCCTCGAGTTACTTCTTTCGTGGTAAAGTATAGCTGCGTTATTACCATCACCACGCATGCTTTTGTTGGAAGGACTTGTGTGAGACGAACTTTCGTCAAACAAATCGCTCGGTCCAAAGATCTCAGAATTGAGAGTTCCACTTTCCCAGAGCCAGTCAACCTGGCTCTGGCAGTGTCCGCCCCGTATGACCCAGAGGCAGGAGGCGCCGCCTTCGAGTTGGATAAATAATCCGAATCTCCAAAATCGAAGATGTTTTTGAGGCTCATCCACATTGCGAGTGGCCGTACCCGCTGCATACGCAGCGGACGTATCTGTCGGAAGTGATAGCTCACCACGTGGACTGGTCGCAACGGGCACTGCCTATTGCTCACTTGTAACAGCAGTCGAATTAATACCTGCTGCTGAGGCTTAAAATTTACTTTCTTCGGCTGCACGCATGCGTGCAACCGCTTTTCTGTCTGCTCCAGAAGGAATTTGCCACCATGCGATGAGTTGGCAAATGAGTTGGAATTTGACCAACAAGTGCTCCCCTTCCCAGAGAGATCTAATCATGATCACCCTGTCCTCAATAGATAACATTCAATTATCGAGTGATTACTAGTTTAATAGGGGGTGATGTAACGGGGTAGCCCGATACATGACATTGACACCAAACGGTGTCAACAGGGACATTGTCTAGCGTGACGATTCCCTGCTAACATTGTCCGAGATGGATAATATTGAAGGTACATTTTTCCCTTTTAGGATAATTTTCATGCGCTACTCAAAGATTGGTTGATAAAGACACATCAACCAAGGTTACCACCAATCGCAGCGAGACGCGCAACGAGTGGTGAACCGATTGTCTTCATACGACAATGTAGATTAACATAGTTTGATAAAGACTGAAGTTATATTAATAGCTGAACAATATTAAGTACAGTTCTCTTTTTACCCTGTACTCATCTTAGTCGTTGTGGAAACTAGCTTCCTCTGCACGTACTAGTGTACGTGAAGTTTCGTGGCAACCCAAGCAAAGTGTTCCTTGTTACACTATTCTTAATTAGGTTACTTTAGGATTATTGATTATTTATCCTTCGCATTAGCATTTTTGCGACGACGACTAATTAACATGACCCTATTGAGTTCATGATAACTTTACAGGCTGCTGAACAGTATGCAATTTTAACGCATTTCTTTGCGTCGATTATGCTGATAACTAATAGCTAAGTAGTCTAAACTCGCCTTTCTACTAGCGATTACTGCTTTGGATCAATTTCATCACACGCTGGATGTCGACGAATGTGTACAGAAAACGGCATTTGTTAAGCACAAGGAATTCACTTGTATTCAGTTACGGTCCCGCTTGCAGCACACTACATGTAAATATCAGATTACATGTTTTTACAGCCCGACCACGTGCACCTCGGTCTTAGTATCCGTAAACCCTTAAAAAAGTGTAACTACTGTTATCAAAATAGAACAAATCACACATTGACAAGATAAAAATGAGTACATTAAACGCTTCTTCATACGAATTTTATAACACTAAACACAAGGGTATGCAATGAGTTAAGTCCTAATGCATTGAGATTCCATTTCTGCACGCATTACGGTATAATTCCTGTGTGCGTTAAGTTGATCTTTCACCAAAATCTTACCTACAACAGCAAAAATAATACTTGAAGATGCACGTCTTCACTTAATCGCTCTTTTATGCTGCTGCTACATAATATTGTCTCGCTGTCCACCACAAGCTCAATTGATAGCTTCATTTTAAAACAGGAAGTCACTGAAGAAAAAATAAAACGCAATTTAACACATGGCAGGCATGGTAAGTTTTGATTTGGCGCTGCAGATTGTAATTCTGCTATAATTTTATTCCCCTTTAAAGTCTCGTGGAAACTCTCGACGTGTGATGTTGCCTTGCGAAGATAATAGAAAAAAATGTCTATTTATAATGGTCTTGTACAGGATTAACTACCTTTTTTACATTATATGAATATATATCAGTTGCTTGTTGGATTAACGGGGACCGAGCATGTAACAATATTTTACCCTGCACTCAAGCCAAGCATTTGTTTGATTCAAACATGCTTTATGTTCAGCTAAAAAATTATCACGCATTTGCCCTATTCCGGTTGAAGAGTTGCTTCAAGAGAACTAACGCATGACATTTACCGGTCTAGTCAAAAACTATTATAGTCCTCCTGAGCTTGAAAGGCTTTTTGCTGCTTATCAAAAATTCTTTGATGATATAAAAAGGTCAATAAAGCGTTTTACATTGTAATGAGACCAATGAGTGTTTTTGCGCGCTAGTTCTTGTTCGGTTTCACATGTGAGTTTTCAGCTAATCTCCCGCCAGAGAGTAAGATCTACATCTCATTTCCCTTTTAGCAAACGACCTATGTTTCTCATAATCGCTAAAGAATGTATATCAGGGTAAACATCGTATGGCACATTAATTTTGTCACAAGAAATGAAGGGAGGTTGTCATGATCCGTGTTATTATTTGTTTCAATTGCATTAAACAACGCAACACCCCCTTTGCTCAACTATAGAAAAATGGTGCATGCTGACGAGAAATCATTGAATTGACGTAAAAGCTAAAGGCTTTTTCGCTTTTGCTTAACATGGTAATTCTTATCCTCACTTTCTAGGCTGTCAAAAACTGCATGTATCACCATTATTATAGCCAGCACCTTGGCTCAGTGCCAGCGAAGTAAACAGTCGACATTTTGGGCTGTCACAGGCAGAATAATTTGGTGATTTGTACATGTTTCAAACGCATCTAGGTTAAAAGCCAGCTCGAATCAAGGATACTATATAGTCCTGGTGTCTTGTCTTTGGCTTCCCCGTTTAACAAGGCGGGTGTCAGAAACCTCGTCATTAATTTTCGATCCACCGGTCTCCTTCCTGTAAGCTTGTTAGGTTTAAAACTTGCCGATTGAAATGCTAAATTACACATCGCTTGTCTCGTGAAGCTACACAGCTCCTTAAGTCAGAGTAAGACTTAGTGCTTGAAGCGTGATACTAGTTCTCAAGAACTATACTTTGTGAGTTATCAAGCGTAAATCCAAAGGTCTCTGGCACAGGTAAGCGAAAGATCTAGTGAATCTACAGCACTTGTGCTCAAGAGTATCTACCTCAGTGAGGTGTTGCTAGCTATAAACGAACTACGATCGAAGAGGCCTCGAAATGCACGTGTCTAGATATGATCAAAAGGGGAACTGAACTTTATTTACGTTTGACTCTAGAGAATATCTTAATATGAACATTGACTGATCCAGGCACTCACGTCCTACAATAATCTGCATATTATTTTTCCATTCTTGTGGCTGATACCCGTCAGCCCATTTTTAGCCAATACTATAGTCTAGATCAGTTTCAGTGGGTTACCATACCCTGTATCTATTACGCAGGGTACCGAGTACCCTATGATGTTTACCCATTTTTTACTTGACTCGAAGACACGCATATGTGGGATTTAATATCTTCTTTTGCTGCCAGCTCAGAATGCGAGCATACGAGGTCCTGACTCTTCACGTCTTTGTCCTTTTGTCTTCCAACTTTACGTGTGCGCATACTGAGTAAATATGTACAAGCCATCCGTGTCAATCATCACAGTTTCTACCTCCAAGGTAATTTGAGTCAAATCATGTAAAGGCGAGAAACTTTTTCACTATCGTTTAGTTGTATATGGAGTTAATTTACGAAAAGCTTGATGTATACTGGGCAAAGTTAGTTTGCATATTACAAAGATGAGGGAGATGTAATTGTAGCCGATCAGGGTAAAAATTTGACCATGTATGCGCCAATCATGTAGTGTTATATTCAATAAGGGTGATTTTACCAAAAATTGAGTGCATTCAAAAAATTTACCCCACAATGTTGCTAGAGACTTCTTTTCTATTGTAAAAATTAGTAGTAACTTATTTTTATACGACCCATACTTCAGTTGAGAAATATGATAAAATTCTACTTCGGCGTCAGAAGTGTCATTAGTCACTTTTATAAGTAAATATCTGCCGCTGGTGCTAATCAAAGATTAATCACGGTTAGGGCAAAGAGTACATAAGTATAATGGTGCAAACTGAGAATAAAAAATTGTGTATGACTTAATGCCATCATTACGTAGTTAGAATTATACTGAAAACAGATAACGCAGCATTCCTTAGGTTTTAATTACAAGTTTGAGCTATTTAAATACACTGTTCTTGACAAGTGAATGAGGCTCTGCAGTTTAACAATAAGACCTGATACGGTCCTATTCCAGCCTCATCTTATTGGCTGTCAACTGACGACGACGGTTAGGATGAAAGGAGTGATTGCCATGCAGCAAAACAACATATGTGACGAGGCGATTTGGACACCATGTGCGTCTTAACATGGTCAAGGTGCAGTGCTGTTAAAGGATGCATCTCGTAGTGTCGACGAACAAGAGTA